TCCTCCTCCCTGACCCTCATTTGATGATAACCCGAACGCAAATCAATCTTGGATAACCAAGATGCTCCCTGAAGCTGATCAAAGAGATCATCAATCCTCGGGAGTGGGTAACGGTTCTTCACCGTTACCTTATTCAACTCCCGATAATCTATACACATCCGGTGCAACCCGTCCTTCTTCTTCACAAACAGAATCGGGGCTCCCCAGGGTGAACTGCTCGGTCTAATGAATCCCTTGTCTAGCAGCTCCTGCAGCTGCCTAGACAACTCCAGCATCTCGGGAGGAGCCAACCGATATGGTGCCTTCGCTATCGGTGCCGCACCAGGAACGAGGTCAATCCTGAACTCCACCTGTCGCTCCGGAGGTATCCCAGGAAGCTCCTCTGGGAAAACATTTGCGAAATCTCGCACTACTGGAACCTTGCTCACGGTCGCATTACCCGCCTCCCGGGTATCCATCACGTACACGACATATCCTGCGCATCCCTGTTGAAGGTAACGTCTAGCCCTCGCTACTGAACATACAGCGGGTTCGGGCTGTGGCCTCTCACCATGGATCACTAACTCTCCCCCACCTGGGGTCCTGACTCGCACTAGTTGTTGCGTGCAATCTATCACCGCCCCATTAGGGCTCAACCAGTCCATGCCTATGATCACCTTGTTCCCATGCAACGGAATGGGAACCAGATCCACTAAGTAGCACTCTTCGAACAACCGCAACACGCAGTCCAGAAATACCATCGATGCTCATACCGATCGATCATCAGCAATGTCTACTTCCAAAGGGCAATCCAGCATGCCCGAAGACTCAGGAAACTTCTTGCTAAGCGCAAGGGACACAAATGATCGGGATGCACCCAAGTCGAACAACACCTGAACTGGGATACAGTTAACTCCCATCACTTCAAGGCCCACATAGCACAAAGCAAACAACATTTGGACGTAAGAAAAACAATCTCAAGCAACTCTATCCTCGAAGAGAGAACTGAACTAGCATACAATGCTAAACTCGTACTATAAGGAATAACCTAAACATGCTACCCTATTGCTGTCTACTCAGCTCTAGCATGCAGCTCTTTCATATACTGAAGCACATAAAGCAGGCACACTTAGTCCTATTCTAGCATGTTGTTCTACAGAAACTGATAAACATAAATAAACTTGTATGGGTACATTGGGGAATACTTACTTGAGCTTGGCCGGTTGCGCACATCACACACATTATTCTTTCTTAAAACCCTTTACTTAAACCTTTTAGAAAAAATTTTCTTTTTCCAAAATCCTTTAATCCCTCGATTTGAGTTCAAACACCCCCGAAAGTGTGTCCAAATCCCTCAAACCGTGGCTTTGATACCAACTTGTAACGACCCAATTTTCACGTCCAAAAATTTCGTTTTAAAACATTACTTTAGAAAATGTTAATAAATAAAAACATTGTTTGACCAAACTACATCACAACATAAACCATGTTCAAAAGTCAAGTCATACAACCAATCGAAACATCAGAGTATAAATCCCAGGGAAATCTAGTAAATGCGGAAACCAATGTGTGTGCATGATGTGCCGCTACCGAGCCAGCTCCTTCCCCTTCGATGAAGAGGTACCTGAAACCAAAACTGTAAACTGTAAGCACAAAGCTTAGTGAGTTCCCCCATCGTACCACATACCATACAATACATATCATACATACTGCCAGGCTATTCTGGGGTGCCTGACTACCCGGTACGGCCATTCTGGGGTGCCGACTACCCGTGTCAAGCCATTCTGGGGTGCTGACCTACCCATGTCGAGCTATTCTGGGGTGCTGACTACCCTTCGGTCCTAACAACCGAACCTCGGGGACTATTTCACCCCTACTACTACCATCACATATATCATAACACAAACGTAATATCAGACATATCTGGGGTGTCTGACCACCCTTCGGTCCTAGCAACCGAACTCTACTACTATCACATACAACATATCATGCCAACATATAACATATCAGGTAGTAGCAAACCTAGATGATATCACAAAGACAATCATCTAACATACAACTCCTACTGGTGGGCCGGCATTGTGGCCTTAGACCCACCGCTACTGGAAGGCAACTCACCTCGGAGTAGCTGCTGATCTTCGTGGGAATAGTCTGACTGCTGCTGCTGTTCCGGAAATCCTCCGGCTGTATTCCCACCAAACACTTAGTCAAAAACTGCTAACTGACCTTTGGGTAAAATGACCATTTTACCCCTGATCATGCCCTAAGTCAAAGTCAGAGTCAACTTCCAGTTGACCCGACTCGCCGAGTTGGCTCGCCAACTCGCCGAGTCCATGTCCAAACGACTGTCCTGAATTCTGTTTCTACTCGTCGAGTTAGGCGTCGACTCGACGAGTTCTCCTTCCAAACTGATGTTCAAGTCCTTCATCCTACTCGCCGAGTTGTATGAACAACTCGCCGAGTTCATCTTCATCCGATGAACAAGTTATACTGTGACTCGCCGAGTTGTATGAACAACTCGCCGAGTCTGATCTTGATCTAAGGAGATTGCCTTGAACTCGCCGAGTCTGGGCATCGACTCGCCGAGTTCCACTATGGGTGAGTTTTGGCTTCCAACTCACCGAGTCCCTCCTGGACTCACCACACGACTCGACATAACAAAAAGGGGACAAACCCGGAGACTCGCGACTAGACTCGCCGAGTCAGATGAGCGACTCGCCGAGTCCGCTCCATGCAAGAGCTAAAAATGCGATTTTGCTCGAATCCAGTCCATGTCATTCGTAGATCTGGGCTCCTAGAGCATGAATAACACGTAAAGTTTCCAACTTTACGTGTAAATATCCATCTATGGGGTTTTTAGGGTTCAAAATGCACCAAAAGAGTAGATCTAAGGTTTATATGCAATATGGGCTCATAAAGGTAGTAGATCTGAGCTCCTGGAGCTCAACTATGCTTAGATCTAGAGACCAATCAACTTATTTCGAAATATGATGCACATACAAGCTTGGAAATGAGCCATGAAGGACTTTAATGGGGCCATAAGCATGGAGACAAGGGGGAAAACGAGCCATACCTTAGATATCACTCTGAAATTGCTCACAAGTGCTTGACCTCCTCTTCTTCTTCTTGATCTCCTTCCCTACTCACTCCAATCTTCAAGAGGACACACCAAATGGCTTCAAATCCACAAAACAAGGCTTAGAACGAGGTATATGGCTCTTAGGGTGAATGGGGGCTGGCTTGGGGGCGGAAAGGGGGATTAAATAGGGTGCAAACCCCTGAAACTTAGGGTTTCCTCCAACAGCGGTGACTCGCCGAGTCCAGGATATGGACTCACCGAGTCGCCAACTTAAACGTGTCCCGAGTCCCGTCCCTACTCGGCGAGTTGGACCTATGACTCGCCGAGTCCAAGGCTTAAAAAGGAAAATACTCAATTAAGATTTACATACCAGGAACCAGGTGCTACAGAGTAATCTTGGATATTGGTTTGGTCAATATTAGAAAAAGTCAAAATAATAATCACGGTTTATTAACTAAGTACATACTTACATTTCCTATATTTTTTGTGATCTAATCCACTATAAATTACCAAAGCTTCCTATCCTATAATTCTTGAAACCGTAAATTTGTGATCATCCAAAACCCTAATATCTAAAATTCATTCTTTTGCTCGGTTACTACAGAAGAAAAATAATCACTGTTCTTTTTGAATTTAATTGGTTGTATGTGTCTTTTGCATATATAAGCCGCAACAGGTATGTGTTATTTGTGAATTTACATAATTTTGTATGAATGTTTGTGTTTTTTTGGCCAATAGATAAACTCACTCTCAATCTCTCTCGGATCCTGCAGAAAAAAAACATAACAGGTATGTTCAATAGTGTTTGTGACTGTGTGTACCTGTGTTTACATACATAATATAACTCTCTCTCTCTCTCTCTAATACAACATACTACAAATACATGAATATACAAACTCCTCTCTCTCTCTCTCTCTATTTTCTTTAATGTTGTCTATGTGTTTTTTGTGTTAGCAGGATCTGATCTCGGTTCCTGCAGAAAAAACAAACATAGCAGGTATGTTAAATGGTGTTTGTGCCTGTGTGTGCCTGTGTTTACATACTAACACAATATAATTCACTCACACACACACACACACACACTCTCTCTCTCTCTCTCTCTCTTTCTCCAATAAAATACAAAACAAGTACATATATATATATATACAAACTCCCTCCATCTCTCTCTCTCTCTCTCTCTCTCCCTCTTAGCTTAATGGTGTCTCTGTGTGTTTTTGTGTTAACAGAACCGAAATATTCAACATTTTAGCCTTTTTTTTCCATGCACTCTCTCCTTCTCGGTTCCTGCATAAAACATAAATCTTATTAGGTAATTTCTTTGTGAAATGTAATTAATATACATTCTAACTCTCTTTAACTGAATGATTGTGTTTTTTGTTACATGTCCAGAAACATATACATAAACAGGTAGCAGACATATTGCCTCTCTTTCTTGGTTCATGCATAACAAATATATTAGGTAATTTTTTTTACAATTTTTTCAATATTCATAATTTTCTTTCTAAAAATAGGGTGTTAGGTGAAACATTGGTTTTTTTTTTTTCCAAGTTTAGGGTTTTTTGCAAGTTATATGTTCAGGGTAATGGATGTTGAGGTTGTTGATGACAAGTTATGTGATATCATTGTGTGTGATATATGTGGAGATGTAGGTTATGAGCACTTACTTGCTATATGTAGTAGATGTATGGATGGCGCGGAACACACATATTGTATGCAGAGCATTAAATACGAAGTACCTAAAAATGATTGGTTATGTGAAGATTGCATATTTGGTGATGTTTACGATATTACAATGGTTCAAGTGGAACCATTCAACAATCAGACCACCAAATCTAAAAATGAAAAGAAGTTTTTGAATACACAAACATAATATGACAAGAAAACAAAAATTCCTAAATTACCCCTACAAGATGAAGTCATTATACTTTCAAATTAGAGAGTTATGAATGAAGAAGATTGCATGCAAAATGAAATTCCCCAACTACCCTTGGAACAAGAATACCTTATCTATGGAAATGAGAATACACAAATGAATTGGTGGATGAACTATGGCCAACAGATGATCGTCGACACCAATGGCTCTCTCTTGGGTAAATATGAAAAAAATAGATCAAGACCTTTACATCAGTATGATCTAATATAAATTACAAATATAGATTAGGTTAACTATTGTGACATACTACTTTATGAAGGTTTAAATTCAAATAATAGTAATGTAATTTGTATCTGTTGATTATTATAGCACCATACTTTTTTTTTATCAAAGTATTTCCATTTTATTTACGGGGTTGCTTGGTGTTATATTTATATCCATTGGTTTTTATGGTAACAAAGCATATTATTGAAACTACATTACTATAAAACGACTTTTCACAAGGCAACATGTGTTTTATAAGAAAATGAAAGTACAATGTTATAAATTGAATACTTTTCAAAGTAATATACTTACATAACAAACAATTGTATTAAAGGGTTGTTTGGTATTAATTGTAAACTTACGGCTGTTTTGGTAAATAATTATATATTCATTGGCTATTTGGTAAAAGATTTTACCATAAAAAACAACATATATATAATATAATATATATATATATATATATATATATATATATATATATATATATATATATATATATATATATAACTGTTAATTAATTTTATCCATTTATTTATCCCAAACTTAAACTATTTATCCCCTTTATTTACTAAAATATTACTATATCCAAAGCATTTTAAATTTTCAGATTTTTTTCATCATTACAAACTTTATTATTTTTAAACATTTGACCAATGCATCAAAGAACATCCTAATACCATAAATTTAATTAAGTTTCTATTTGTTATGGGTAAATTAAAGTAGGTTGTTATTTCTTGGGATAATTCATATATTTTTAATTCGGTTCTTTGGACAGCACATGTTATATAAGTACTTTCATTGTAAGATTCTACTTTAAACTTTTTCAATATACAATGTGATTACAAGTAAAATGAAATTCTAATGCTATAATTTAAAATTATATATTTTAGATTTAAAATATCCATCTTTTAATTTTATAAATTTTGAAATTCAGATATTTAAAAATGGATATTACATAAACAAGAAACAAAATTAATATATTTGACATTATCCTAAGTTTAACTTTGAAAAACATATCCTAAAACTTTCAACAATATCAAACATATCCTAACTACATAAATGTTGGTTGGTACATTGATATTATCCTACTTTTAAATTTATAAATCTTATCTTACTTATCTATCCAAACCAGTTGTAAAATTCAAATATAAAACTTATATATTCGAATATTAATCTTATCATATTTATTTATCCAAACTAATTATAATATTTAAAATTCAAAATTTAAATAATACATATTATATCCCTTAATAAGAAACAAACTTTATCGGGAAATCATTATATATACCTAAGCACTGCCGCCATATTCCAACCTATATATCAGTCAAATTCAATAGACCAACTATCAAAAAGTATATTAAGCTATTTGTTATTGTTTTGCTTATCATTTTAAATTTATGTTGAGTTATATTAACACTTAATCTTTTCCTTCTTGGTAGCCATCAAGGCCTTTAACATGGATGTAAAGACAACAGAATATAAAACTTGTGAAAAAAAATTTCTCTCCTCTAAAAAAACGTGATTTGGTACTTCAATCTTGGAAATGGAATGAAGCGAAGGATCTTGTAAGTTCTGATAATCAAGAACATTTGACTGACGAAGATGTAGATACAAAAGATACAGCTGACTCGGTAAAACCATTGAAAACGCCCCGAGTCACAATTCAGAGACGAAACAGGTTCTCTAAGCTTAGTCATCTACCAGATGGCAAAGATTACCAGTATGTCATGATCATTTGAGTTGTATTTACACATTTGTTTCATAATTGAATAAAACTAATTTAGTTTATATTATATTATATATATATATATATATATATATATATATATATATATATATATTTTAATTTTAATCACTTCATTTCTAAATTGATTATTTCTAATATGTTCAAATTTTATTATTATTATTATTATTATTATTATTATTATTATTATTATTATTTTCAAATAACTTTTTGCAGATATGGGTTGGAGTTACCTGTAGATGTGAACCATCCAATACATGGTGAAGATGATGCGCCACATCCCACTGAAGATGATGTAGGTGTGATCCAGCCAAATCCGGCTGATAATGATGAATCAGAGCCGGGTGGTGACTGATCCTAGCAAGAAAGATCGTTATTTTTTTTAATAATTTGAATGATTTTTGCTTATAGCAAGTTGAATAGTATGTATTTTATCTTTATGACTCTATGGTTTTAGATGCTTTGATATTGGGATTTTATGTTTTTTATGATTATTATTGAATTTTATGGTTTTTTAATGATACTTTTCATACTCTATTTGCTTTTTCGTTATTTTTTACCATGGCATCCTACTTTCATTTCTTATTACAACATTCTAAAATTTATTTAGATAAGTACAATACCTTATTTAGAAAAATATTGAAAGTAGAATGTTTTATTATAAAGAAATGAAAGTAAGATACTGTGATTTTCAAGAATCTCATAAGAGGTCCACTTTTTAAAATTATAAAAGAAAAAGTAAAATAAACTCGAGTCAAATGTGTTTTAAACAGAAAATTCAGTTCGATAACATGGCTTTTCTAAATGAAATTTTCTTTTAATAAGGAAACAGAAGTACAAAGTTATTATTTAGGCTTTTCAAAGTAAATATCTTACATATTAAACAACACGTACTAAGGGGCTGTTTAAAACTAATTTTAAACTCAACAGCTGTTTTGAAATATAATTATATATTCATGGGTTGTTTGGTAATATACTTTACCTCATGGTCTCTTATGGTAAAAAAAATATTGATTTAATAACCTAATAAATAAATGCGAGAATACAATATTTCAACCTAATAAATAATTCCATACTCTTTCATGATAATATATCTTTTTTTCTTTATGATCATGCATTTTATTTTCAAAAGTTAATTGAAAATCGATTTTAAAAACCTCAGGGGCTGTTTTGGTAAATAACTACATATTTATTAGCCCTTGGTATTATTGTTAAAGTCATGGGCTATTATGGTTTCTTATAGCATCTTACTTTCATTTCTTATTACAACATTGTATACTTTTAAAAGTACAATGCCTTATTGATAAAAAAAACATTGAAAGTATAATGTTGTAATACATAGAAATGAAAGTATGAAATGCAATTCGAGAAACAAAAACAATATAATGGTAGATACTATTAATACTTACCTATTCCTCTTTATGCAAAATCTCACCAGTCTCCTGGATAATGCATACCTGCAATGACAAACAAATAATTGAATAAAGTACATGGTTTTTCCAAATGAAATGTGTTTTTAATATGAAAATGAAAATACAATGTCATAATTTGAAGAATTTTCAAAGTAAAATGCTTACAAAAGAAACAATATGTATTAGGGGCTGTTTGGTATTAACTTTAAACTCGGGGACTGTTTTGGTAAATAATATATTCATGGGCTGTTATAAAAATTATCATTTTTCCAAACTAACCATCAACATTATCCTAATTTTATATTTTAAAACATAATTCTAAAAGTTTCTACATTATCAATTCTAACTACATTTTTAAATTCAAAATTTAACAAATGGATAAAATCATTTTTATCTTATCCCTCCAAAACCAACTTGAATTCAATATATATATATATATATATGTGTGTGTGTGTGTGTGTGTGTGTGTGTGTGTGTGTGACATATTCCGCCAAAAGCCACATTTACTTTCCATTCGCATCCATAGGCGTGGATGTGGATAAAACAATGACAAATATGACATATGGAGTATGCACTTTTTGTGTGAATGGATGAATATATCATAGAATTGATCAGTTAATCCTGAGGGATGGAAAACCTCGGTACTTAAAGTTGTATTTTTATGATGCTGATTATGAGATGTCACATAGACTCAAATGGAAGAATATTGATAAACAAATTGCTCAAAAGTTGATCTGTGTTCTCTTCACAAACCCATACGTGCAAATATTTCGAAGACTTTCCGATCTGGGGTCGCTTGAAAATTACTGAGTTACTTTAAATGCATCAGTAGAACTTGACCAAAGGGTATACAACAGACCGACCACATCTGAGGCACCATAATAATTATTGTCTACTAATTATAAAAAAATATGTCATGTATGACATACAACTGTATATATTACACACCATATATAATCATAACGTTTCCATAATAAAAATTCCAGGTCACTGGTATTTGGATTGAAGGTAACGAAAACATAGCCGCATATAAACAAAGTATTATCGTGTATGGCAAATCCGAAAAACCACAAACAATTCAATCTTACTGGGGATGTTATGATCCATTGTGTTACCCTTTATTTTTTCCTAATGGTGAATCTGAATAGCATTCTAATATTCCAAGACATGGATTTCCCATCAATAATATTATTAACAACAACGAAGACATCCATGATGATTTAGAAGGTACACATATCATAAATTTTTAAATTTTAGTTTAATTAATAAAGATTACATGTTTGTACAAATCATTAATTTTTTTTGTTCAAGACATCAACATTGTGTGGACTCTAATACAAAAGGAGGGCAGAATATTGTAAGTATGCGGGAGTACTATTGCTATAAGTTTCAAATCTGGTCAAATTATAATGTGATTTTGTTGGGAGGAAGATTACTACAACAGTTTGTAGTAGATATCTACATCACGATTGAGACTTCACATTTGGAGTTCTGTAGAGAAAACCAGTCCAAAATAAAATTTTTCAATGAGACTACTTATCTACCTTGCATGAAGTTGACCCCATCCGATAAAAAAATTTCATTCCGTTTTCAACACAGGCAATTTCCAATAGTAGTTTGCTTCTCTATAACCATTAACAAAAGTCAAGGACAGTAATTATCAAATATTGGATTATACTTGCGTAGACCTGTCTTCACCCATGGTCAGTTATATGTAGTTGTTTCTCATGTAACAAACAAAAAAGGTTTGAAGGTACTCATATGTGACGAGGAAGGTCGTTCAACTAATAAAACAAAAAATGTTGTCTACAAAGAGGTCTTGCAACATTTATAGATATTTACCGATTTCGGTGTTTCTTCTTCACATTTCAATAATAACAATAACCATAAACTTTCTTTTATAATTATTATGCAATATATAAATGTTTTTATATTTTTTTTAATACATTCCCCGCGTTTAACGCTGGTTATAATCTAGTTTGTTTCTATAGAAAATGATTATTATTTACATGATATAATGTTTGTACTTGTATTTAATGGTCTTCGGATTCAAGCGAGATGACACTCTAGTTGGGAAAGGTTCGGTCAATATTTTCATGAACACCATTACTTGGTATATGGTACAACTAACTATGAGACGTGTGGCTTAGATGACCCATTATTCAACCCTTATCGTGTGGCTTATATGACCCATTATTCAACCCTTATTGTTTTTTGGGCAAATATCATATTAGCCCATCAAACTTATCGTATTTTGTTTTAAAATGCCATTTTAATTATTTTTTGTATATTAAGGGAATAAAGTATGAATTTAGTGTTTTAAAGGTCCCTATTTGACCTGATACCGAGTATCCAGGTAAAATAAAATAAAAGTTCATGAACATAGATATCTTCAAATTAGGATGGGAGTCTTCCATTGATTTCTCTAAACTTAATGAAACTAAAGTGATTATGTAATTATATATACAATACGATCCTCTCTATTGTTCAGTCTATCTCAGGGTTTCCGGTGCCTTGGACACCTCCACCATCTGTTTGTTGACTATTGTATATTCAATTGAATAACAAAAATTGTTCCATTTGGATAACTTTAACTTCCTTAGATTCCATGTATTTCATCCCCAATCTCCGCCTATAAATCCACCCCACCAAATTCCTAATCTCATCCATAATCACTCAAAAATCCAAAAACTACACAACATTTCTCACGTCAATGGCTATTTCAACTGCATTTTCCTTTTTTATTTCCCCCAATTTCTCCCTGAATTTAAAGTCATCGGCAAAATCGAGTTCAAATTTTGTCACGTTTAGAAGGACTCCGATTTTAGCAGCTTACGCCACCGTTGAGACAATGGAGACAATTAGATCGTTATGTAATAGTACTCCTTCCTCTCTGTACGAGGTGTTCAAAGTTTGAATCGTAGATGATAGTGGAGAGGTGAAAGTGGCGCACACAAAATTAGGGAATTTGGCTGAGAAAACCGAACAACCCACCAGATCAATGCCTTCGATATTCACCTCCTGCCTCTGCTCCGATATCCTGCTATAGGCGAAGAGCTCCAGCAAAAAACCAAACAAAAAAATAAGTCATCTCTGGGAGCATTGACCTACAGTCGTTGATCTCTTTTTTGGAGGGGGGGGGGGAACCATTTACAGTGGGAGGAGGTCGGATGAGATGAGGCTACAATGAAATTAAAACCTGTTATATTGGGTCAAGTGACCTTTTAACAGGTAAACCATAGTTTGTGCCCTTAATGTACCAAAAGAAATGTTGGGTGACCTTTTAAAATAAACACGAAAAGTCCGATGGGCTAATATGACATTTGCTCTTGTCTTTTCTATACTTTTATAACACATGCATTAAAATGTGTATGTAGATTTAGATGATTTTTTTTAATGTATTGCATATTGGACATTATAGAAATCATAAAGAAAAAATTGCAAAAATGGTCCATGTGGTATGTATATTTTCTCAGTTTTTGTCAAAACCTTGACTTTTTGACTACGTGGTCCTTTTGCCCATGCTTCAATGTGGAGATGGTCCCTTTGACAATTAAAATGACTATTATACCATTTTATTTTATTTTTACATTTTTAATATCTATTTTAATATTTTAGAGTAAATTACATGAATGGTCCCTATGGTTTGGGGTAATTTACGTGTTTGGTCCCTAACTAATTTTTTTAACTCGGAAAGTCCCTACTATTTGTTTTTGTTACACGTTTGGTCCCTACTATTTGTTTTTGTTACTCGCTTGGTTCCTATCTTACCTAAAAAGACTATTATTTAAATACAGAAAAATAATGAGGTAGGTAAGGTAAAGTGAGAGGAATGGAGTTGGGGGTGTGTTTATTTAAATAAATTAAAAAATCAATGGCAAAATAGTCTTTTTAAGTAAGACAGGGACCAAACGTGCAATAAAAACAAACTGTAGGGACCTTC